GGGTGTTCTAATCAGTAACCAAGAACAATCAACTATTTGGTCAAGAGGCAAGAACTATACACACTTGGATGCTGCTTGTTTTCCAAAGGTTCCTTCCTGAGGGATAAACAAAACAGATAACTGAAGTGGTAGTCTGCAATTACTGGCCATAGCAAAACATATCCGACACAGGTTCAAACCCTAAGAATGAATCCAAGAGAAGGAGTTGTCCTCTATCAATCATACATTCAGTGTAAAACCTTACCTAAAGACATTACATTTTTGTGAATGATGAAAATCTCAACAAAATTATTATTAACTATAGCATGAAAATGCACTCACAGAATAAACCCCATTTTCTGAAAACTATCCATAAGGAAAATGCCTTGCGGAGCCTTGCTTATTTACATAGGCAATAGTAAATGTATTGTCAGCTAAAAATGCAATAAAAAGTACATACAAAGTATTTCCTCTTGTACTTGAGAAGAAAAGAAGAACCATAAGCTCCCTTGAGCTTCTGTGGATTTTTTTTTAATATTAGGGACCTTTTCCCCTTCATTTTAATTTTGCTTCAGGAAGAAACTCCCAAACTCAGGACAGACACATTAACAAATCACCAAGTACCAGTGCCCCTTGGACACTAGAAGATAGATGCTCTGCATTATTACACCTCTGAATACAGAACCCAGTTTAATTCAAGAAAGCATACACACACATGCACCCACCCTTACACTTAAGCAGAGCCACAGTCTCAGGGGATAAAAAGTTCTTGGCACTGCTGTCACCACCTATTGACTATTCCTCCTTCCCTCAACTCCTCCCTACCAGGATATAGTAACACCTTCCCACTAATAATACAGTGCAAAGATTGGTGATCAACCCACAATCTTTCTATACAGTAATACCCTGCCCTACGCAGTCAATTGAACCAGCAGAGGCCCGCATAAAACGGGAAACGCATAAATGGAACAACAGAACATATGGGATTAATTGAAATAGAGACTGGGCCGACCCCCAAACTCCACTTTTTCCCGACACAGTACATACGTTTTAGTAAAAATAACATCTTAACTTTATGATAGTATGCACACACATGTAATATAGAAGAGAAATATCAATAAGAGAATAATATACTTAACCAGGTATAAGAAAAATCAAGGTTTAACACTTATGTCAGGTTAGGTTAGAAAAAATCAAGGTTTAACACTTACGTAAGGTTAGGTTATGTTTAAAAAAATCAAGGTTTAACACTTACCTAAGGTTAGCTTATATTAGGAAAAATCAAGGTTTAACACTCATGTAAGGTTAGGTTATGTTAGGAAAAATCAAGGTCGGTTTAACACTTACGTTAGTAGAAGAGATGGGTCGGCGTACGGGAATGGTGGCGGGTTCCAAGGCAGAGGGCAGACTACTGGCCCTCAGGTGAGTCACCATCACTGTCATCCACATTTGTCAGGGCCTCCCTGACAAATCCCTCAAAGTCACCATCACTGTCTGTCACTATCACTGGCTTGGGCTGGCTGTGGTGGGTTGTGGGCGAAGAACTCGGTTATGCTTTGTTGACGGCTAGTGTTGATGTTGTCATGATACACCTTGATGTACGGCTCCATAGTCAGCAACAGCTGGGTAGTGAAGACTTCATACCGGTTATCGTCAGGGTCGTCGCAAAGGAGGAGCTTGAGTTTCTCTGCACACTCGATGGCACCCCTAACATTACCATGCGTTAACTTGTGTTCTTCTCTGGATGACGCACCACCTGCCTCTTCACTGACGTGATCGTCTTCTAACATCTCGTCGGCAGTCACCTCAGGATCCCTGATCACCTCCAGGATGTCTTCGTTGGTGGTCTCGGAGAAGCCTGCAGCTGTAACACTCTGCGCAGCTTCTCTGGCAAGGTCCACTGCTACTGCAACAGTCTGAACCTCACCAGTCACAGGTTAACTCTGCCTCCCACCTGGGATACCTTGCAACACACGTCTCCATGCATGAAGAACCGTTGCTACAGACAGCTGATCCCATGCCTCCACCAAGAAGTCCACAGCTTTCTTGACATTAAATTTCCTCCAAAAGTGTTTGATGAGAACTTCTTGCTCTGCCAACTGTTGTTCCTCGTCCTCGTCGCTCTTGCTATCGGTGTCACCCAGGTTACGCAACTCATCCTTGGTGTTGGTACAGTCGTTCAGGAGCTTAAACTTCTTTGCAGAGTATGCAGCTTTCACATTGCAGATTAATTCTTGGTCCATGGGCTGGATTAATGACGTAGTGTTGGGAGGAAGGAAGACCACTTTTACGTTAGGGTGACGATCCAACAGTAGGGGCGAGTGTCCTGGTGTTTTGTCAAGGAGCAACAAAATCTTGAATGGAACATTCTGTTGCTCACAGAATTTCTTCACGTCGGGAACGAAACAGTCATCAAACCAGGGGAGGGAAAGAGTAGAGAACATCTACGCCTTACGTGCGGTCAGCCAGTGGACATTTAGCTTGGTCATGTCCATGTTCTTGTAGGCGTGTGGCTTGCGAGCTGTGTGAATCACCGATAACTTGAGTTTACAGGAACCGGAGGTATTGGTGGTAAAGAGGACGGTGATGCGCTCGTTCTGCAACTTCCGGTCCCGACACTTGCTGGCAGACTTGACAACGAAGGTCTTGGAAGGTAGCTTTTTCCAAAACAGAACCGGATTCGTCCATGTTGAACACCTGGTCGTCGGTGTACTGTCCTTCCTCCATAATCTCACATAAGAATGGAGGAAAATCCCTAGCCGCAACACGGTCAGCACTCGCTTCTTCACCACCAATGTTAATGTTGGTGATCTTGTTCCTCTTCTTAAACCTGTGCAGCCACCCAGAGGAAGCATTGAAGGGTTTGGGCTCTGCAATTCCCATCTTACGTGACACTGCTGCGTACAGTTCACGTGCGTACTCCTGAACTGACCGCGTGTCGACCGCCATGTTCCGTCTTGCCTGACGAATCAAGTAGCTCACAAGTAAATTCAACGTCTTAATAAGCAACTTGTTCTGGCAATACTTGATCATTGAAGCACCTGCAAACTTTGTGATGTTCATGTGTTCTATTATCTTGGCTGCATCCTTCTTTATCGTCCGGATCGTAGATTCGTTCATGCCATGCTGGCACGCCAAATCAACTTGTCTTGTTCCTTTCTCCAACTCTTGAGTAATCTTGTACTTCACATCGTAGCTTAGGGCACGTTGTATCTTCTTTGGCTCAGGGCGGCTGGGTCCAGGTAATGCAAGGTTTTTCTGTAGTGGTGGTGGTCCGGTGGCAGCCATTCTTATAGAACAATAGATACCGATATACAAGGTGTGGCCAGGAGGGGTGTAACTGACGCGGCTAGGTCAAGCGGCTTCATCCCTCCTGCGGCAGAGCACGTCATATTACATTAAACCAATCACAGCTAACGGGGAGGGAGGTAAGGATGCATGGCCCAATCACAGTCCGATACGTCATATGACGTCACCGATAACGCAACAAAGACATACACTGCGCAACCTACTCGCGCCGTTTACCCAACATGGCGGGATGGCGGGAGATGGCGGGAGGTTTGCATCCAAAAATGGTGTGGCGCGAGAAGACCGCCAGCCGCTCTCTGCGTATACGAGTAGATGCACTGCGTAAAGTGGGAATTCCGGTTCTGGCGGGGTACCGCGTAAATGTAGAAACGCGTAAACGAGAACCGCGTAAAGCGGGGTATTACTGTATACTGTAAAACAAAGAAGTCTGTCTGGTGTTATATGTAGTGATGATGGATGATGTTAGATGTAGTGATGATGGGTGGTGTTATATGTAGTGATGATTAGACAATAAAATAATAACAGTTTAATGCAAAATAAATATATTTTGCTGTTCCATTGTAGTAAAAAACATGGTGGAATTTACATACACCGTTAATGAACTATTGATGGAAGAAGAAGTTTTGGGGACTGAACAGTGAGACAATGTGGAGCCTCCCAAAGGGTGGCGTCTACCGTGGCCTAGCGAATGAGCCACCCGGAGGGCGGCGTTTCTGCTAGTTTATATATAAAAGTGACGATTTTAACTAAAACATTTTGGAATCAAGCTGGACAGTGGAAATTACTGTACTATTGAGTCAGTGTTCAGTAACCTCACCAGCCAGATCCTAGACCCCACATCCATGACCAAGACTCCCCATCAATATTGAATGAGAAAGCAAGACTCCCAGCTATGCCAGGTGAGAAATGAGGAATCCAAACTATACTAAATGAGAAACACAAACTCTCCAACACCTTGTGTGAGCAAGGAAGACCTACCAAAATCATGTGTTGAGTGTGAAATCTGTGCACAGTGTTACCAGCCAGCGGGAGCGACCAGTGCTATATGTGAAACCTTGCTGTACCGTGGGATGGAGCTGGTTGGCGCCACTTGAGAATTCACAAGGCAGTTTACAAGACCAGCTCCCTACCAGGTCCATACCTAACTCGTATATTCTCTTCATATTACAGTAATTTCCTTTTTGTACATAAAGCTTTTGTTAATTAAGCAACCCACTCCACTATATCACCACATGCAACTTTTATTATTGCAGTTGATTGCATATTTTCAGCATCTTGGCTGTCATGTCTTTCAATATACCAATAATTATTACACACATGCATGCACATACCCACTCCTACCTGACTGCCTACACACACATACAAACACACACCAAAAAAGTCCTCTTTTTATATTGGTCATATTTACTTTCTTTCATAAGAACATCACTGGTGAATTACAAAACATTTACCTTGGGAACTTAAACACAAATACTTGTTGGTGTTCAAGAGAGGTGGGGCATAATGGATTAACCTTGTTCTAAAGCATGAATATTCTTATTTTTTATATGCTCTTGGTACTAACAATGTCAGATTTCCAAGGTGTGGTGTGTAGGCAATGGACTCATAATTACTGTACTGCACATTTAATATAATTCCAGAGTCATTAACAGAAGGTGAAGCAGGCATCTTTTTCATTAAGTCACTGAAAAAAAAAAAACAGGCTGTAGTACCTTAACATGAGCTGTTCCAGTCTGCCGAGAGCTTCAGAATATTTCTTACTGGCAGCTTCATGGTCCCCAGCCTTATAAAAGGCATTACCCTGTTCCTTTAAGGCTGGAATACTCTCAATTCGCTCATTCTCAGTCATTGCCCAAAACTCCTTTTCATATGAGCCTGCCCCTGCCACCTTTACTAACTCTGAAGAGACAGAAGTAAGAGTGATAAATACATGTAATATTAAATGATGTAAGAGTAAATGCAATGGAGCTCAACTATATATATATATGTACAGGGGGCCCCCAAATTCGCGGGGGTTAGGTTCTCAAAATAGCCGAAAATCGCCAAATCCGCGAATAGCTCGTTGAACAGGCTTTGTGTGAAATATAGCAGAGTCTAGGACTGCTTTTAGTATCCTGGTGGTCCAGTAGGTAGCATTCCCCGGTCACAGTCATGGGCTCGTGGGCCGTGGGTTCGAATCCTGGCGGGTTGAGGTGTTGATTGTATGTAGAAGTCCACTTGCTTTATTGGGCTAATGAAATATATATAAATATCCAACTGGTATGAAACACGAGGTCCCATACATATACTTAATTTTTAGTCCATATAACACGCGGACTTTGAACATATAATCAACGACCTCACCAGCCAGGAATCGAACCCTCGACCAGCTGGATTTGGTAAAATTCTACTGACACCACATACGAGGCACAGGCGGTTCCCAATGAGGTTCACAGCGCCATTAGCTCGATGAACAGGCTTTGTGTGAAATATAACAGAGTCTAGGACTGCTTTTAGTGTCCTTGTGGGTTGGTCGGTAGCGTTCCCTAGTCCCACCCAGTAGGTCGAGGGTTCGATTCCTGGCTGGTGAGGTCGTTGATTTTATATATATATATATACAGTATTACCCCGCCTAACGCGGTTTCACTTAACGCGTTTTATCATATACGCGGTGCCTCGCCAGAGCTGAACTTTCACTTAACACGGATTTTTTCCACATATACGCGGTGAGTGTCCGGCTCGAGACGCTATTTTTAGATTTGCCCCACCCGCCACCCTGCCTGACTGCCTGTTTTAGCTCATAAAATTCATACAAATTACCCGGCCAGAATATAATTTACATTGCTGGAATTCTTATAATTTGGTGATCATTTTGAATATAAACATCATATATTTTGCATTAGACATACAAATTTTAGATAAAAAATTTTCTCAGAGTAACTATGTTATCTTTTGTGCAAAATATATGACATTTATATTCAAAATATTCCTGGTCTTACAAGGAATCCAGCAATGTCAATTATATTATCCTAACTTTAGTTTGAGGTATTATTTATTAAAATTTAGTGGTTATCCCACACATCTCCTTGGGACGGTTGGTGGGGGGTGGGGGGGAGGGAGGGACCGACCGACCATCTGTTACCCCGTGAAGAATTATTATTTTTTTTATTAACTGAAGATATTTGTTTTAGCTCATAAAATTCATACAAATTACCCGGTCAGAATATAATTTACATTGCTGGAATTCTTATAATTTGGTGATCATTTTGAATATAAACATCATATATTTTGCATTAAACATACAAATTTTAGATAAAAATTTTTCTCTAGGTAACTATGTTATCTTTTGTGCAAAATATATGACATTTATATTCAAAATATTCCTGGTCTTACAAGGAATCCAGCAATGTCAATTGTATTATCCTAACTTTAGTTTGAGGTATTATTTATTAAAATTTAGTGGTTTTCCCCCAAAAATTTCTCTGAGGGAAGAGCCAGCAGTGTAGTGTGAGAAGAGGGGGAGGGAGTTGAGTCCATTATTTGAATGGACATTAACTTGGCGACTGTATTTCTCTATTTCTCTTAAGTATTAATTGTGTGCATGTACCATCATAAAATTAAGATGTTATTTTTACTACAACATAGGTATGTGCCTTCAAAAAGTGGAGTTTGGGGGTCGGGCCGGTTTCTATTGGAATTAATCCCATATGTTCTGTTGTTCACTTAACGCGGATTTCACTTAACATGGGACCCTCTGGGTTCTATTGACCGCGTTAAGTGGGGTACAACTGTATATATATATATATATATATATATATATATATATATATATATATATATATATATATATATATATATATATATATATATATATATATATATATATATATATATATATATATATATATATATATATATATATATATATATATATTGTGATCAATTGAACAGAGGGTCCAGCAAATGGTAGCAAGAACATGAGGATGGTAACAACTGGGAAATTCCCTCTGAAAACAAAAAATAAATAATTCCTCAAACAAAAGATAATATAATTGACATTGCTGGATTCATGAACAGAATAAGAACATATTTTTCTAAAAGATAACATAACCTCAGAATAAACTTTGCATCTAAAATTTGTATCAAATGATAAAAGAAATATAATAAAAAAAAAATATGACACTATCTATCAATCAAAGTACCGGTACCCCACCTTGCCTCCCCTCTTCAACCATGGTCATCCCAACCCTCCCCACCCCCCACCAATCCTCCATTCAAGAGTTTTAACATTTAGTATTAAATAATACCTCAGATTAAAGTTAGGATAATATAATTGACATTGCTGGATTCTTGTAAGACCAGGAATATTTTGAATATAAATGTCATATATTTTGGACAAAGATAACATAATTACCTCAACAATTTTATCTGAAACCAACATGTTTAAAATTCCAATTAATAAAAAAAAATAATTCTTCACAGGAGTAACAGATGGTCGATTGATTCGGTCCTCCTCCCCCACCCCCCACCCCCTGCCGTCCCAAGGAGTGTGTGGGATAACCACTAAATTTTAATAAATAATACCTCAAACTAAAAGTTAGGATAATATAAATTGACATGCTTGGATTCCTTGTAAAGACCAGGAATATTTTTGAATCCTCAAGTAATGTATATTTTTGGACAAAAGATAACATAATTACCTAGAGAACAATTTTATCTAAAAATTGTATGTTTAATAAAATCTATTGTTGTTTATATTCAAAATGATCACCAAATTATAAGAAATTCCTTAATGTAAATTATATTCTATTTCAAACCAGACTGGCCTTAATTTTATGAGCCTGAGCAGTCAGGCGGGGTGGCGGGTGGAAATTGGTCGCGAATCTAAAAATAGCTCTCAAAACTGGACACTCACCGCGTATATGACAGAAAAACGCGTTAAGTGAAAAGTTCAACAAATACCGTATATCGCAGCGTTAAGTGAAAAGCTAGCGTTAAGCTGAGGTAATACTGTATATATATATATATATATATATATATATATATATATATATATATATATATATATATATATATATATATATATATATATATATATATATATATATATATATATATATATATATATATATATATATATATATATATATATATATATATATATATATATATATATATATATATATATATATATATATATATATATATATATATATATATATATATATATATATATATATATATATATATATATATATATATATATACAGTGGGTATATTTATAACGAAACGGATTTTCGGTATATTCCTATAACGAAGCAGTTTTACGCAAATTGAAACACTTACATAGCGACAACTCTCTGCTTGACGGATGAATGCACGGACTATTTACTTACCAGCGCATGAATATTGTTGTACGCGACCCACAACCAAAGCGTCCAGGCGCCATCTTTGTCTCATTGTGTAGCCAGTGCACCACTGTTATTGTTGAAATTTTTGACTCTTTTGATGTGGAAATAAGAAGTTATTTGTATAAATATTTTGTTATACAAATTGGCCACAATTGTGACAATGAATCGTTCCAAAAGCAGTGAAAGCTCATAACTCTTGAAACTAAAGAAATCATAAAAAGCGTGGATGGAACAAGCATTGCAAAACTTAGTGATGAGTATGGGATGGCTAAATGGGCTATATGTACGATTTTAAGAATAAAAAGAGGAGTTGAAAAGCAATTAAAGTGGCTAAGGGAATCTCTAGACTTAGCAAAGCAAGGTGTAATGTGATTGAGGAGATGGAAAATTTACTCATGAGCGGATAAAGGAAGAAAGAAAATAGCGGGTATTAGCATTAGTGAAGCTATAATTGTGGCCAGACAATTGTTTGAGGACCTTAAGCCAATACTCCAGTACGAAGTGATAGTGATGTGCCAGGTAACATAGTGCCAAGGGGTGGTTTACTGGTTTCAGAAGGAGAAATAAAATACATAGTGTTGTGTGAGACATGGGTGATGCTGCTAGTGCCGATAAGGAAGCCAGCTAAGGAAAACCATGACATTTTTTGAATATTATTAAAGAGGAGGCTTTGTTTCAGCAGGTATTCAACTGTGATGAAACTGGACTATTTTGGAAAAATGCCTCGCCCGTACGCCATTACCAAGGCTTCTGTCCTGTACCAAGCCAATGAACAAACACCCTCCTTCTTTTGTGCTAATGCTTCTGGTGACTGCAAAATAAAGCCACTCCTTGTGTACCATAGAAAAACCCCAGGCTTTAAAAAACACTAGGAAGACCGCCTTGGTGTTATGTGGCGGTCAAACCCAAAACTGGGTGACAAAATTTATTCTCTGAGTGGGTGATTGAGTGTTTTGGACCCTTTGCACAGTGTTGAGGCCTCAGGAAGTCTTCCCACTAAAAGCTTTGTTGGTGATGGACAATGCCAGCCCACCTCCTAATTTGATGGTTGAATTGCCAGAGGGAGTTCAACTGTACTGTGCATAACGCACCCAACACAGCTCTCATCAGCCCATGGATCAACAGGTATTTCACTAACTTTAAGCTGTACACAAAAGGCACTGTTTTGAAAAATGTTTTCGTCCACTTCTTCCAGTGATGTTAAGCAGAAGAATTTTGGAAAGAGTCACTTCAACCTCTTAGTCTTTGTATTTTAATTACCTCAGCCTGGAAGAGGATTACTATGAGTGTCTTGTTACTGCTTAGAGGCCATTGTGGCCTGAATGTGTCCTTCAAAAGGGCTTTGAAGGCTTCGAGAATAGGCTGTTGTTCATGAAATTGGCTCTGGGCAGGCCATATGGGCCTGGAAGTGGATGATGATGATGTTGAGTTGGTGGAAGAGCACAGTAAGAATTGTCACTGAGGAGCTGCTTGAGCTTCACAAAGAGAAAACAGACATGGCCGGAGCTTAACTTCTGAGTCAGGGAGGATGAGGACAGGAGGAAAAGCAGCATCATTCCAGCAAAAGATCTCAGGATCGTTTCTTTTGCTGGAGCAAGCTGTCAAGCTTGCTGAGGATTATCTCAACCACGATGTTGGTTCTGTGCAAGAATATCCAGTGTGTTCAATGACAATGTTATGAACGCTACTTTGGAAGGTCCAGAAATCAGGTTGAAACAGCCAATCCTGGATACCTTCTTTACAAAGATAACAAAGAACATATACAGACAAAGTGCTATAATGAGACAGTCACCAAAAGAGGCTAGGAAGGATGGCTCACTCTCCTTCACCTCTTCTCCAATAATTCTCTCCTCCCCCCTCCTCCCACCTCCCCTCTGCCTCCTGTCCTGCATGCTGAGACAACTTTAAGGTAAGATAAATGCCGTATTTTTTACATTTTTCCACAGAATTTTTCAGTGTTAAGTGGTTGTGTTGGGGCCTGGGCGGATTAATCCTACTTGAGCGAATGCTACTCGCGAAGACAGGTTAACACCTATTAATATATATATATATATATATATATATATATATATATATATATATATATATATATATATATATATATATATATATATATATAAATATATATAATATATATATATATATATATATATATATATATATATATATATATATATATATATATATATATAATTATATATATATATATATATATATATATATATATATATATATATATATATATATATATATATATAGGTGTCAGTTCTAGCGATTGTCCGTAACCTGATTTAGGGTTAATATTGCATTATATTCAAAGTCATTGTTTATCACAATTTTATCCCTTTCCATGTAATCGTAATTTCAAAAAATATTACATTTCTTGATTGTAGTATATAGAGCACAGTATGAATAGAATATCATTGTAATATAACAGTATTTTAACACCGACTATTAAAAACGAATAACATCTCTTGAACATCAGAAGGTTAGGTAAAGTCTTTGTTTTTAGTAACATTTTATCCTGTTTTACATTGAAATACATCACGTTTCAAAAAACTACTATTTATTTCTGAGAATATATTCATTCAGGCGCAGTTTAGAAAAAATATATAATGTGATGTAACAGTTTTTAACTGAAAACGATTGAAAAACCGTACTCCTCTAGCCCTGTTCAAAGGACTGGGGCTGTTTGGTGCTGCAGGCGATGACAAGGAAAATGATTTGGATGGATTTTAATGTAAATATTCAGAAATATGGTATCGTAATATTTATTCAAGTCAATTAGGATAGAATATTATTGTAATACAACAGTTTTTAACTGAAAACCAATGAAAAAGCGATTACGGTAACATCTTTTGAAGGCGAAAGCGAAGTCATTGTTTTTTCGTCTGCGATTTTATCACTTTCACTGTATCGTCGTCATTAGCAAAATATTACATTTACGGAATGCATTATATCAAACACAGTATGAATAGAATATCATTGTAATATAACAGTATTTTAACCAAAACTATTAAAAAAGCGAGTAAATTCTCTTGAACATCGGAAGGTTAGGTAAAATCTTTTGTTTTTCGTCGTATTTTATCCTATTTTACATTAAATACATCACGTTTCAGCAAAACTACTATTTATTTCCGAATATATTCATTCATACACATTAAGGTAAAATATACATGTGATGTAACAGTTTTTAATAGCGATTAAAAACAACGTTATGCCGTCTAGCTGATACTCAACAGCTGGTGGTGAAACGTCATAGTAGTTGTAAACAATAGGAGGTTGAAGTAGATTACGGGTATTATATTAAGTGTGAAATATCGAAAGGTTTTTATTACCGGTATTTTTTGTAGATCAATGAGAACTGTGATACCGTATATAATGATAAGTTAGCCTGTGCTAAGAACTTCAACATAGACTACCGTTGTAAAGGTAATTTAGCCTATTGTAAGTTGGTGAGCTTCATTTGCTGAAGGAACTGCACAACTTTTCATTACTAATTGGTACATATTACGTTTCCATTGTTTACTGGCAGTAAATGGTAAATATTTTCATGTCTGAAGCTAAAGTTGCATCCCCCACACTAGCGGTGGAGATGTTACATTTAAAAAAAGACACTGGTGTTTTATCAGCAGTGGGTGAACCAGCATTTAGCTTAAGGTCGCATGGTAATATTCCTACAAATCTAAAAAAAAAAAAAAAGTTCAGATTTTGTCCGAATTATCGAAATCCGGATTAAAGGTCCAATTAACGGTCGGCTTGTGACATATATATATATATATATATATATATATATATATATATATATATATATATATATATATATATATATATATATATATATATATATATATATATATATATATATATATATATTGAGAACAATATGTATGTGGCTAAGAGTGTTAAAGTAAAATTGATGTCATGCAGAGGGTTACAGTACTGTACACAGTTCTGTAACAATAATAGAATGACAATGTTCTGAGCCATCTGCATACACCTTTGGTGATAAATACTACTGTGCTGTACACTACAGTATTGGTAAAAGGAATAATGTACTATGTTTTACCAAGAAAGGCTAACTGTTTTTTGGATATAAAAATTATTCTAAAATGCCACAGCTATTGTATATTAAAATAATTTGTAGTACTGTACTTAATATGGATTTAGGCTTAATTATTGTGGTTGCCACTGAATATCTATTATTACAGTGAAATTTTACCAGGAAGCCACAGTGACTATTTGAAAGACTCTTAAGTACAGGTTGACAACCCTTTATCCGAAATTCCGAAAACTAAAAACCGAAAGTTTTTTTGTGGGCTTCTTTTTTTTTTAAACAGGGATTATTAGCCCAACCAGGCACAGATCACTGACCTGCATCGGGGCCTGGGGGGCGAAAATGTAATAGTAATAATAATTATAATAAAAATAATTATTCATAGTAAATAAAAATTTTAATAAAAATACACCAAAATAAAATAACAATGATTACAATAATAATAATAATAAAATATAATAATAAAATTAATAATAATAATAAATAACAATAATATTGTAATAAAATAATAATAATACAGTAAAAGAAATACAAAGATGAAGCAAGATAAAATTGAAAATCGACCTAGACCTATGAATTATTATTATTATTATTATAATTTCTTTTTATGTTTAGACCCCCAGGCCCCAATGTGGGTCAGTGATCTATGCCGGGTGGGCTAATAAAAAAAAAAAAAAAAACCCTAACCTAACCATTCTGAAAACCGAAAAATTCCGAAAACCGAAATGCCTCTGGCCCCAAGGATTTCGGATAAAGGATTGTCAACCTGTACACAGAAGCATTCTAAAGTCATTTCTATTATTACTACCGGCTGTAAGTCTCTTCCAATTGTTCATCAAGAGAATAAGAGTTCCCCTAAATTCTTACACTTGTACAGGGTATACAAGAACATGCCATATTGGCACAACATAAATTGGTAATTCACTTACCAAGAGTGATTTTCAAATTCTTAGGTGTTTTAACTAGCTCATCCAAGTCTGGATAACCGAGTCCTTCTTTAAATCCCATCCCACAGCAATGATGAGGCTTCTTGTCCTTGTCAACTTTGGTTTTGCCATAAGCTTCTCGTAAGGTTTTAGAAACAAGTGGATATGGTGCAAGTAACTGAAAATGAGATGGTATACTTTAGATAGAAGACTCCCTTCATATATTTTTTTTCAGGGAATGGCCCACCCAGACACAGGTCATAGAACCCCAACAGGGCCTGGAGTGCAAAAAAAAATAAAATTTAAATTCAAGGAAAAACAAATTACCCTGTATGTTAATCTACTCCATGAGGATGCCAAAAAAAAAGCTTTTTGAAGTGAGACAGATTGTAAGAGGATGGAACACAGAAGAAGGCAGAGCATTCCACAGTTTGGCTGTGTAAGAAAAGAAGGATGTACTATAACAGGTTATTACTGTACCTATAGTGTGACCGACTTCCACAAAGAAACGGTGGGCACCACAGGCAAGATGAGTGTTATGAGCCCATGGCCTTGCTGGCAGTGAAGTAGCTACAGCATCTGCACAACATTCCCAGCTTTCAGGAGGCAGCTTTTTGCAATGTTGTGAATGTGTGGCTTCCATGACATATTAGAGGAAATGATGAGGCCTAGCATATCTATTTTAGAATTTAGCATAATGATTGCATCCTGAAATGTTATTGGTGGGATATCGTCTAATTTAGAAAGTGTAATTGGTAAATACTGAGTTTTATTACTAATGAATTTAACCAAATTTCTACCTTCCAATTCAGAGATGCTGCACAGATCCACATTGATAGATGAAACAATATCAGCTCTAGAAACAGATTTAGTTTGAGAATTAAGGGGAAGGGAAAAGTGAGAAAGAGCGAATAGTAGAATCATCAGCATAAGAATGAATAGAATTAGTCGTAGTGTGAAGTAAATCATTGAAAAAAGAAAGAAGAGAGTAGGTGAAAGAACAGAACCCTGTGGAATACAAGTCGTGTTCTATAGGTGCTCCTAACTGGCAGCCAGGCCAAGTCTGTTTGGCTCTGCCACCTCCCCCTCTTATATCCCAACTCCCTACCAACCTCACTACACCAGGATTTATCAGCAAAACATTCATGTGATCAGAACAATGATTGGTTACCAAACAGTGATCCGATAGTGCATTCAAGGGAAAAGCACAAAAACACAGCAGTGGGCACTTTGTGGGTCACCTTCAAAATGCCAGTAACAAGGACCACCGCGGTGTTTACATATACTGTGGGTAGTGTTGGCGACCCTTAAGTTCCGGAGACAAGGAATCGCAGTGTTTACGACTAGACAAATATTAACAGATGTCTACCAATGTCAGTGGCCCTCAAAGAACCGCCAGTGAGTTTATGGCCACCTGAGACAAACACTTCCATCCGTCCACAACAACAGATATCAACAGATATCCACTAATTACTTACTCCAGACGCTCCCTGTACCTTCTAAAGCATGGGAACGGTTATCCTGATGTCAGTGTTATCACGCGATTTAAATCACTAAACATATTCCATGCTCGCATCCATAGACAAGCACATCATAAATAAAAGCCCATTAGGACCATCACTTCCACTAGGAAACCAGAGAAGCCTACTCCTGACAGACCGTACCAATACACTGAAGTTCCTCGAATATGGTACAGTCTTCCATCTTTACTGCTCTCCAATGTCACTTCCTTAGCTAATAAATTTGACGAACTGGCGACCACAATCCGATCAGTCGCTGCCATATGTGAAGCTTGGCAAATTGTTCCTGAAACGTGCCACATTGAGGGATATCAACTTTTTCATCACCTTCGTTCACATGGACTACGCCCGTCACGCCTGGATGTTTTAGTCCCAGCTGATGTGGAGGCATTATGGGTATGGGTCGTGCCACGGGCTTCTATCATACACTGCGTGGCATACTATCCATGTCGCTCACCCACCAGAGACACTATAAATCACCTCATTACCACATCAGAGTTAGGTACCAGGTCAACAATGACTGGCGTGACTCATGCGCATACAAGGCTGCCGCGTGATCCATCTAACGGACAATCCCAGAACCATAAATTTGGTATGGACTCGTCTATAACCCTCCCTCGTTTATAGGTCGACCCTGATTTTTACCCCAAAATCGTTAATTTATGATATTCCTTGTTTATAGGTCGACCCAAGTTTTTGAGGGTATTGGAACAACAAAACCTTCAGTAAAAACACTCTACGTCCTATAAACTGAGGCTCGCCGTGCCTGAAACACTGAGTCCCGAAGGCAAATTGTTTACCATTTATTATTACGACACTTTACACTGAAACACAGGTAGTATTTATTCAAGTCCATTTGGAGGGAATATTATTGTATACAACAGTTTTTTAACTGAAAACCATTCGAAAAGCGATTATGGTAAAATCTTTTGAACAACGAAAGAAAGCGCAAGTCATTGTTTTCGTCATGATTTTATCCCACTTTCCACTGTAATACGTACGTAATTTCAGCAAAAATATTACATTTCCATATTTATTTCTGAGAATATATTCATTCAGTCACAGTTAAGGTAAAATATACTTGTGACGTAATATTTTAATGAAAATACCCGGTATTTAGAAATACGGTATCGTAGTTTTCTTTTGTTTCAAATTTAATTAACAAAGATTGATGTTTCAAATGCAATGAACAAAAATTTATGTATCTATAAATAAACTTTAAAAAATTAATACTTTGTTTTACATCGTCCTGTGCTACCATACCATGCATTTGGCTACTTTGGGCTTGCTATGATGATGCAAGTGATCTGTCCTGGCAACTGTACTGACACTCACAGCTGGTGGTGCGTCATTTCCATTGTTTACTGGTAGTTACTGGTAAATATTTTTCAACCTAATGAAACTATTACCCGTTTAGAGGTCGACCCCCAATTTTTTGCCAAAAAATTTGGGGTCCACTAAACATGTAGCTATGTGTGTGTATGTATGTTTATTTGAGTGCCCAGTTAGAGGAGTCCGTTTTCTCTGGCTTCAGGACACCCGAGTCTTCCGTTTTCTCTCTTAATCTTAGAGTGCACCAGAGACTTTGTTAATCCTTAGTGATGACACAGAATTTGAAATTGCAACTGGGACAATCCGAGAACCAGAAATTTGATACGGACAGTTCAGATTTCGTCCGATTTATCCGAAATCCGGATTAAGGGGGTCCGAATTAATGAGGGTCGACTGTACTACTACTACTTTGCTGTCACTCGGAAACGAGTATGACAATCATCCAGCTACGATACAATGATATAAGTTATTAAGGATGTCACCTTCCTTGGTGAGTTCTGAGATGACTAAAGAGGCTTGTCTGCCTCGTTAAGCAGTCAGGCTAACTTGAAAGTATTGACACCTTCTTGTGTGGTGATCCTCCACGTGTTACGGTGTGGAATTATCGTCTCCCAGGTCAGGGGGTCGATTTCGCACTTTTTCAGGTTTGTCTTAAGGCTATCCTACTACCCTTTCAGTTGTCCGCCAGCATTACGTTTACTATTCATTAGGTGACTGTAAAGTAGCTGCTTTGATAGTCTACTGTCGTCCATGCGGGTAACATGGCCAGTCCAGCGTAGATGTTCACGGATAATGGTAGTCTTGATGCTCCATAAGTTGGTGTCAGCAAGAATACTAGCATTTGTTCTCTTGTCTTCCCAGCAAACTCGGAGGATGAAACACAGACTACATTGGTGAAAATTTTCAAGTGCCTTGAGATGCCTCCTGTATGTGACCCAAGTCTCACTACCATATAGCAGGATGGGGAGGACCACTGCTCAATATATGTGAAGTTTTGTAGATAATTTCAGCTCCCAACAGGTTTCGGAGTCTGCCAAAGGCTTGAGATGCACATCTGATCTGATCCTGAATCTCTTCACCAATATCCGAGTTGGTGGTGGAAAGGTGGGAGCCAAGATATCGAAAGTGGGTAACATTAGAGAGGGTAATACCGTTAAGTTGGATGGAAGGTGGAGGTGTGGTTGAACCAGGGGCAGGCTGAAAGAGAATCCGAGTCTTACGTACATTCACCTCAAGGCCATAGAGTGCAAACACATCTTACCTATGTGTTCAGGATCTCCAGTAGATCGCACTCAGTGTGAGCGACAAGGGTTAGGTAGCCTGCATACTGAAGCTCAGTAATGGAAGCTGCCGACACCATTGTTCCTGCCTGGAGTCATCTTATGTTGAAAAGACCCTTCTTTCGGTACTCGATGTCCACCCAGCCGGCTAAATTGGCACTGGCACGAGTATGGAAGGCAGCCAAGAAAATGAAAAAGAGTTGGTGCCTGTACACACCCTTGTTTAACCCCATTTGGATGGGGAAGAACTCAGAATGGGTGCCATTGTGCAGGACACTGCCGTTCATGCCATCGTGGAGTTGCCTCACAATGGCGATGAATTTTGGTGGGCAGCCAAAACAGCTGAGGGTCCACAAGAGGGCATCCCTGTTGACCGAGTCGAAGGCCTTGGTTAGGTCACGACGCTGTTCTCTGCACTTTTCCTGTATTTGACGGGCAGCAAAGATCATGTCAGTGGTACCACATGATGGTCTAAAGCCACATTGAGATTCTGGGGGTAAGTTTTCCGCCTCAGGAAGAAGTCTGTTGAGGAGAACTTGGGCGATAGTCTTGCCAGCTATGGACAGCAGCAAGATCCCGTGGTAGTTGCCACAGTCTGACCGGTCTCCCTTGTTCTTATAAATATTGACGATGGAGGAGTGTTTAAGAGCTTGGGAAATTTCCTCCTTTTCCCATATATTCTCCAGGAGAAAGTGGAGATGACTAGTAAGCAAAGGTCCTCCTGCTTTGTACACCTCGGCTGGGATTCCATCAGGCCCTGAGGCTTTGTTATTTTTCATTAGTTTGATGGCAGTAGCTACCTCATCCACAGATGGAGGATAGCTGAGGTGGGTCAACTCTGGATGCTGAGGGACCTGATGGGTAGTCATGACATCCTCATCGGTGTTCGGTTGAGCAGTGAATGGTAGTGCTCTTTTCAGCGCTGAAGGATGCCTTCATCGTCTTAAATTAGGGAGTTACCGTCGGAGGAGCGGAGGGGGGTTGCGCCACGAGTGATTGGCACATAAAATGTTTTTGTGAAATTGAAGAATTCGCGCATCTTGTGCTGATCTGCAAATTTTTGTGCTTCACATGCTTTATTTTGTAAGCCAGTCGTTCTTTAGATTGCGAAGTTCCAGCTGGGCCACCACTTTCTTCTTGTGGAAGGTATCAGCTTTGGTCCGAGACTGAGGGTTGTTCTGCCAGTCAGTTAAAGCAACACGTTTATCAACGACGAGTACATTGATTGCCAGGTCATTTTCATCAAACCAGTCCTGGTGTATTCTTTCAATCTGGCCGAGGGTCTCTCTACAGGATTTTGTCATGACAGTGTCGAGGATATCCTATTCAGCACTGGGATTTGGGTTGTTTGTTGTCGGGTTGTTTATCAGCCCATGTTCGAGCTGCTCGCTGAAAGCAAGTGCTACCGCTAGATCCTCCAGACACTTATTGTCTCCTACTCAGATATGTATCAGTCACAGTGAATGGCCAAGAGGGAAATAAAAAGTAAACACACCACCGCCACCTGTCGACATTTTACGAACTAATGTCTGAGTTCATACGAACACCACAGCTAAGTTACGAACCGCTTGTGAATCGTTCTTACAGCAGTGTTAGTAAATCTCAGCCCAGTATAGTATTTGATATAGAAATACTGTACATTCCTAAAAACATTATTTGTTACATTTGAGTGATACTGAAATCTCTCCGTTAACCAGTCTTCAATTCCCGGAACTATCCAATAATTAATACAGTACTGTAATGTAGTACAGGTATCATAATAAAAAAATGACCATGAACTAGTTTGCATGGACACTGCTCATCCACACATAACAAAAATCTTTACTTATGTCCCTTAATATTACTATGCAGTTTAGTCCTAAGCCATTGGTGAGTGACATTTTCTCTGCAGCAATAACTGCTATGATGGCACTTTGCAAAACAGGATAATTTGTCAATAACAAAACAATGCATGCAAAAGCCTGAGCTGTCGAAAACAATGACAAATTAAATAATATGCAAAAAGAAAACATTTATACACTCTAGTCTTGGAAAATCTAGCCAATTTGGGTGAAAGCAGGGAACTTGGGGGGATTGGAACACAATTAATGACATTGTTGGGTGGGTTTGACCTTAGAGTCTAATAACTCCAGACCTAAACTCCTAACTAGTCCTTGTAACAGTTTCCCAATTCATACATAAATCTCCATTTACTAAGTGAAAAAAAAATGCAGTGCATCATCAGCCATAGTACAGCAAAACATTGGCTTCTGCGAGATAATGTGCCCTGCTGTCAGGCATTACATGCCTGCTGAGCACTGAGGAGCTCTGTCCAGGGGACCAGTCTTGTGGGTTTGGAAACATTGTAAAGGTTACTCTAAGGGTTACTCATAAATCTTTGACTGATGTACTGTATAAGTTTTACATAATAAACCTTTAAAATTACAAAACTCACCGACTTATCAACAGCAAAAGATGCCACCTCTCCAGGCAGCATTGTGCGAATGCATGCTTCTAACACTTCCAGTTTGAACTTCTTTCCAAGGAGCAGTTCCACTGGTTCTTTCCATTGATGACTATTGTCTATCAAATGTGGACATTCTTCACATGTTTCTGTCTTGATATGGAATGTCACCTGGTTTAGGAAAAAGAGTCATAAGGTCAATAAATTTTATTTTTAAATTTTCAGTCAATCATATAAAAGTAATTTGCAAAAAATGAAGGACTGATCCTAAAACCCATTTTTAAGACCAAGCCTGGAACTACAGGTAGTCTAAACACCCAAGAGATCAAGATGCTAATACAGTACAGTGCAGTAGGGCCGGGATATATCGCGACTTTATAGAACAATTTTTTTATATTGCAGCTACCAAAATTATCAAAATTTGCCTATTTATAGCGATAATTTTTTTATTTCGCGAAGGAAATTGGGCAGGAAATATTTCAAATGTACTGCCAAGGCAAACAAATGCCTTAGTTGCTCACCAGAGGCACCCCTGTGGCTGCTCACTCACGCATTCACGCTTGACCGCTCAGTCTTTCTGAGTGAGTGACGAGAAAGCAGCCGACTCTGCTGCAGATTACGATTTCTAAGGTGAGTGTAAATGGGCTGATAGTGAAGTGAAAGATGAAGTGAAGATAATGGAAAGCTTTATGAAAAAGATTTAATACTGTGAATAATATTTTTGCTTTGTTCGTTTATGATTGCTAAGTGAGGGTGGCAGTGTGTCGTCTGTTGTTCTCGGGATGTCGCGTCAGCTGCCGACTCTGCTGCAGATTCAAATTTCTAAAGCGAGTGTAAATGGGTTGCAAGTGACATGAAAAGTGAAGTGAAGAAAATGGAAAGCTTTATGGAAAAGATTTAATACTGTGACTAATATTTTTGGTGTTCATTTATGTAAGTGTGGGATTGTCAAGTGAGGGTGGCAGTGTGGCGTCTGGTGTTCCCAGGATGGTGCGTCAGCTGCCGAGTCTGGTGTTCCTTGATATTGATACTGACATTGAAACAGCCTGTTGTTCTCGAGTCTAGTGTTCATTGGTGCTTTACTTAGCAAGAAAATAAACTCATTAAGTCAAGTTCAGTCACTTTCTTTAGCCTCCAGAACCTAACCATATTTTTCCCATTGATTACATGTACAGTGATCCCTCGGTTAACGAGCGCCTCGGTTAACGAAATTTCGGTTAACGAATTACCTTCCATAAGATTCTTCACTTCGGTTAACGAGCAATCCCTCGATTAACAAATTCCTTACAAGAGTCCCTTAACATGTTTTCAACTGCTCACTAGCTGTCGTATTAGTCCGCCAATACAGCAATTGGTTCTAGGGCTTAAATTCCATACCATTTTAAAAGTAAATATCAAGAAGGTTGTACTATTCAATAATTTCAAAAGTTTTATATTAATTTTTTTTAGTGATTTTAACAATTATTGAACATAAATGAAGTACTACAGGAAACTAGTTTTATGCGCGCCAAACAGCCACTCAACACACCAAGCTTGGCGTCAGTTTGTTTACAGGTTCAGAGGAAGGAACATCTTGTTTGAGACTCTTCAACATAAATGCTTTTTTTCTGTGTTTCCAGTCAAATTATTGGTCATTTTGAAATATATTTTACATATTGACAATATATAATGCAGTGCAGTGTTGATTTAAAGAAAATAATCTTGAATTACACCAAGTGAACTAAAATTTTATGGGTGAAGTGGCGGCATGAGGTGACTTCTCTTCCACCCCAATGCCTTCTCTTCTCCCTTCTCCTCCACCCCCATTCTAATTCCCATCATCATCAACCAGGAGCCTTCTACATGCACACCTCAAAGTAAGTGTACTTTATTGCATTTATTTTTCGTTTGTATGTAATTTTCGGTGAGCTGGAACCAATTACCCAAAAACCCATTGAAACAACGGTTTTGGCTAACGAATTTTTCGGTTAACGAGCAACCTTCTGGAACAAATTGTGCTCGTTAACCAAGGGACCACTGTAATTATATATCGCGATTTAGTATGTAGCGAACATCATTGGATCCTATCTCGTGATATATCCCGACCCAACTGTACTGTAGAGATATCCCTTGCTATACAAACATTCCTGGCACAATTATTCGCTTATACGAATTTCTTAAAATCACCACAACTGTATTTTGAGATACAAAAGTTTCCCCCACAAATACGAATTTGGGTCCTGGCAAAAATTCCAATCGCATGATACCGGAGTCAGCTGGTGGCCATCTTGGGGAGAGATGCGCAGAGACATATTCTTTCTCAATGATCATACCCCCTCACTCTCGAATCTCTCATAAGCCCGCATCTTTCCTAACACCATTCGTTGTGCGTGTGCGTGAAATGGTCCCTCTTTATCTGTGTGTATTTAAGACATCCTTCCATTATGGCATCGAAGCATTATATAATCTACAGTATAGTCTGCATTTACGGGGTCAATTGAACCCGTGGAGTACCGCGTAAAACAAGAAACGCGTAAATGAAATGACAGAACATAAGGGATTAATTGAAATAGACAGGGCCGACCCCCAAACTCCACTTTTCCCGACACAATACGTACGTTGTAGTAAAAATAGTTTTTAAATTTTATAATGGTATGCACACACACATAATATAAAAGAGAAATATCTATAAGAGAATAATATACTGAACCAGGTAAAAGAAAATCAAGGTTTAACACTTACGTTAGTAGAAGAGATGGGTCGGCATACGAGGATGGGGGCTGGTTCCGAGGCCGAGGGCAGATTACTGGCCCTCAGGTGAATCACCATCACTATCCACCACAGATATCAGGGCCTCCCTGACAAACCCCTCAAAGTCACCATCACTGTCACTATCACTGGCTTGGGCTGACTGTGGTGGGTTGCGGGCGAAGAAGTCGGTGATGCTACGCTGACGGCTGGTGTTGATGTGGTCGTGATACATCTGGATGTACTGCTCCATACTTTGGTCTAGAAGGTTATTGAAGACTTCATACCGGTGATTGACATGGTCTTTTGGAAGGGTGAGCTTTAGGTTCTCGGCAAACTCAATGGCATCCTTTACATCACCATGAGTTAACTTCTGTTCTCTTGCTGCCGCACCACCTGCCTCCTCACTGACGTCATCGTCTTCCAACATCTCGTCGGCAGTCACCTCAGGATCCTTGATTACCTCCATGATGTCGTCGTTGGTGGTCTCGGAGAAGCCTGCAGCTGTAACACTCTGTGCAGCTTCTCTTGCAAGGTCCACTGCCACTGCAACAGACTGAACCTCACCAGCCACAGGTTGACTCTGCCTCCCACCTGGGATACCCTGCAACACATGCCGCCACACGTGATGAATCGTTGCCACAGACAGCTGCCCCCATGCCTCCACCAAGAAATCAACAGCTTTCTTTACGTTAAACATTTTCCAAAACTGTTTAACTCGCACTTCATGCTCCGACAACTCTTGTTCTGCATCCTCGTTGTCGTCGCTCTCGCTATCTGTGCCACTCAGAAGGTTACACAACTCATCCGTGGTGTTGGTACAGTCGCTCAGGAGCTTAAACTTCTTTGCAGAGAATGCAGCCTTAACGTTGCATATCAACTCCTGGTCCATGGGTGGATTAACGACGTAGTGTTGGGAGGAAGGAAGACAACTTTTACACTGGGGTGACAATCTAACAGTAGGGGCGAGTGTCCTGGTGCGTTGTCAAGCAGCAACAAAATGTTGAAGGCACATTACTTTGCACGCAGAATTTCTTCACGTTGGGAACGAAACAGTCGTCAAACCAGGAGAGGGACAGACCAGTGAACATCCACGCCTTATGTGAGGTTAGTCAGTAGACATTTAGCTTGGTAATGTCCATGTTCTTGTAGGCGTGCAGCTTGCGGGCTGTGTGGATCACTGACAACTTGAGCTTACAGGTGCCGGAGGCATTGGTGGTAAACAGGACGGTGATGTGCTCCTTCTGCAACTTCCGGCCCCGACACTTGCTGGCAGACTTGACAACGAAGGTCTTGGAAGGTAATTTTTTCCAAAACAGACCGGATTCATCCATGTTGAACACCTGGTCGTCGGTGTACTGTCCTTCCTCCATAACTTCTCGTAACAATGGAGGAAAATCCATGGCGGCAGCACGGTCAGCACTGGCTCCTTCACCAACAATGTTAATGTTGGTAATCTTGTTCCTTTTCTTAAACCCTTTCAGCCACCCAGAGGAAGCAGTGATGGGTTTGGGCTCTGCAATTCTCATCTTGTGCGCCACTGATGAACACAGTTCACGAGCGTAGTCCTGCACTGCCCGCTTGTCGACCACCATGTTCCGTCTTGCCTGACGAATTAAGTACAGTGGGATATGCTATAACGAATCTAATTGGTTCTAGAACTTCGTTCGTTATAGGATTAATCCGTCCCAGGCCCCCAAATACAACCACTTAACATTGAAAATTTTCTGTGGAAAATGTAAAAATACGGTACTTTATCTTACCTTAGTGTTGTTCAGCATGCAGGACAGGAGGCAGAGGGGGAGGGGGGAGGAGAGAATTATGGAGAAGAGGTGGAAGGAGAGGAGTCATCCTTCCTAGCCCTGTTTGGTGACTGTCTTACAGGCACTTGTCTGTAGGGTCTTTTGCTACTTTTTTAAAGAAGGAATCCAGGGTTGGCTGCTTCAACCTTGATTTTTGGACCTTCCAAAAGTAGTTCATCACATTGTCATTAAACACACTGATGGCCTTTTCCACAGAACCAACATCAGGATGATAATCCTCAGCAAGCTTAGACAGTTTGCTCCAGCAAAAGAAGGCATCCTTGAGATCTTTGGCTGGAATGATGCGGCTTTCCTCCTTGTCCTCATCCTCCCCTGACTCCTCAGAAGTTAAGCTCCGCTTCAGTGTCTCATTTTCTTCTTTGTGAAGCTCAAGCAGCTCCTCAGTGGACAGCTCCTTACTGTGCTCTTCCACCAACTCCTCAACATCATCATCATCCACTTCCAGGCCCATGGAATTGCCCAGAGACACAATTTGATGTACAACAGCCTCTTCCTCTAACTCTTCGAAGCCTTCAAAGTCTCTTTGAAGGACACATTCAGGCCACAATGGCCTCCAAGCAGCACAAAGACACCTCATAGTAACCTCTTTCCAGGCTGACGCAATTAAAAACACAGTGTCTGCTATATTGAAGTGATTCTTCCAAAATTCCTTCAAACTAACATCACTGGAAGAAGTGGATGCAAAACATTTTCTAAACAGTGCCTTTGTGTACAGCTTCTTAAAGTTAGAAATTACCTGTTGATCCATGGGCTGGATGAAAGGTGTTGTGTTGGGTGGCAAGAAGTGCACAGTGATGAAGTTGAACTCCTCTGGCAATTCAACCATCAAATTAGGAGGGTGGGCTGGTGCATTGTCCATCACCAACAAAGCCTTCAGTGGAAGATTATTCTCCCTGAGGTATTCCCGAACACTGGGTCCAAACACCTCAATCACCCATATAGTCGAGTGTAAGAAACCTAGGTCGCGGGAGATCGTTGCTACTGTTTTTCCATTCTCATACTGTGTTATTATCTTCAGTTTCATCTCAAAAGTAATTGCCTGTCTCCTTTTCCTTGGAGTACCACCAGCACTCTCACTTTTACGCTTTCCAGTCATTATAAGGTCAATTAAATACGATAATAACGAAAGTTCACAGCGCGATCAGTATAGGATACGATAGCCAAACACAAACAAAGCGCTCCACTGAGTGAGTGTACCCACGAGGCGACCCAAGACACCCCTCCCTCTCGCCCGGGACGGAAACGTTTCGGTATAGAAAATGCGCGCGTCATTTGAAAAAATTTTTGGTCACGACGGTCGCAGTCGTATGTCCCGTATGGACGTACGGTCAAAGCAGGTCGTAAGTACCAATGGACGTAAGTCCACGTAGTCGTAAGTCGGGGTCTAGCTGTATATATATATATGTATATATATATATATATATATATATATATATATATATATATATATATATATATATATATATATATATATATATATATATATATATATATATATATATATATATATATATATATATACCTGTATATTATTTTCTTGTAGCTCCGTTCATTCCTACCACTAATCTATTATCATATTCGAATAAGACGTCTAATTATAATGTAATTTTCATCTATTACATTACCGGCGGAAATGTATAATAACAGATAGCTTTTCCCCCATTAACATCGCGCCATTATCATGTGCCTCTCACCTAACACTGAGTGTCTCTCGCGTCTCCTTCATAAATCATGACGCGCATGCGTACCCGTACACGTCACGCAGCCAATGAAAAGCGATTTTGCTAATTCAGAGTATATTTGGCCCAATCAAAATCGAGTTTTATTTTGGGTCTCTCACATTTTGAAATTCAAGTTCAGTTCCGACCATGGAAGTCTGCGATGGGTGTCACAAAGTATATGGAGCTGATTGCGAGTTTTTGGGAAAAAAAACTTAGAAACTATAGCATTTTTCGATCGCATGGTGTTCTTCCAACCTCAGTGAAGTGTACTAAGAGCAAGACTGAACGTAAATATCGTAAAGACCAACATATGTGACGTTGTGTAAGAATCCCAGAATCCAACGACGAACAAGAACCAGGCCAATAAGGTGAGAAATAGGTGATTCCATCATATGGTGAGAGTCAGTTAAGTTAGGTCAGGTCAGGTTAGGTTTGGTTATTGTTTTTCTAGTGTTTTATTGTGTATTTGTTAGTCGCTTAGGCACTTTTTTTTCTCGGAAAACGTCAAACGAAAAAAAATCGCTAAAAAAACCCGGCTAATTTCCGTTCACTTGTAGCAAGTTAAAAATATATTTTTCTAGTGTATTTGTGTGTGCTAAGACCAAATATGACCTTCCCTTTTGGCGGAAATTAGCCATTCTTTTTAGCGATTTTTTTTCGTTTGATGTTTTCCGAGAAAAAAAAGTGCCTAAGCGACTAACAAATACACAATAAAACACCAGAAAAACAATAACCAAACCTAACCTATATTTCATGTAGATCCACAATGAAAACGTGGATAAGATAAATCTTGATAAAATCACACGGGAAAAGGGAAACAACGGAGCACCTTAGCTTTCGTCTTTATTCAAGACATCTTCAGAGGCAACTGGATTACATGGACAGAGAGAGGCTTAAATATACAGGGTGACCTTATTAAACATGAGGTCAGGTCATAATGATGTCATCCACTAATCCCCACACCAACACACACGTAGAGGAGCTTAAGAGAAGGGGGTGACGTGACTAGAAAAACAATAACCAAACCTAACCTGACCTAACTTAACTGACTCTCACCATATGATGGAATCACCTATTTCTTACCTTATTGGCCTGGTTCTTGTTCATCGTTGCATTGTGGGATTCTTACCCAATGCCACATATGTTGGTCTTTGCGATAATTAGATTCCGTCTTGCTCTTAGTACACTTTACTGAGGTTGGAAGAACACCATGCGATCGAAAAAATGCTATAGTTTCTATGGTTTTTTCCAAAAACTCGCAATCAGCTCCATATACTTTAAGTGACATCCATCGCAGACTTCCATGGTCAGAACTGAACTTGAATTTCAAAATATGAGACCCAAAATAAAACTCGATTTTGATTGGGCCAAATATACTCTGAATTAGCAAAAACGCTTTTGATTGGCCGCGTGACGTGTACGGGTACACATGCGCGTCATGATTTATGAAGGAGACGCGACAGACACGCAGTGTTAGGTGAGAGCCAGACGATAATGGCGGGAAATAATGGAAGAAAATATAAATTTATTTGGAAAAGCTATCTCCGTTATTATACATTTCCGCCGGTAATGTAATAGATGAAAATTATCTTATAATTAGACGTCTTATTCGAATATGATAATAGATTAGTGGTAGGAATGAACGGAGCTACAAGAAAATAATACCATATATATATATATATATATATATATATATATATATATATATATATATATATATATATATATATATATATATATATATATATATATATATATATATATATATATATATATATATATATATGGGTACAAACTGTCTCGTAAATCGGGTACGAGTTATTTCATAATTGAGTACGAGTTGACATGTTCTGATGGGTACGATTTGCTTGGGTACAAAAAACCTACTTAACTTTACCTAACTTCTAGCCGGGGGGCGGTCCCGTCATATTAAACAGAAAGTACTAAGCCAATGAGAGTGCACTCAAGGTGAAAAAGCGTTAGTAGGAACTTAGCCAGTCACTGCAAAATATCCACTACTTAAACTTAAAGTAAAACTCAAAAGTTGTTGTATCGTTTTTAAGCTAATATACGACTCGTGGCCGTCAGCAGTTCGGTAATTGTGGATCTGAATAATTACCCATTTTATAACTATCATCTAAAGAACATAGTGTAAATATGAAAGAAATTGACATAACTCCTACTGGTGTTAGCCGTCTGCCACAGTATTACCACTTATTTACCTTGGTTCCATCACTGTAGTCATTCGTTCCTTGGCCAGGATGCAATACAGCCTTTTTAATGAGACTGTCATCCATATTTAGGTTACCAGTCGATGGTTTCTGGGAGCACAAGTAATCACAGCCAACACCTCCCAGCACCGCCAATATAACTGACGTAATATCTCAAGTTTAGCTGTGGTTCAGTCGTTCTCAAAATACTTGGAGGATCTCTTCTTTCTTGTAGATGCAGAGAAAATTCTACATTCTTCATCAATGATAATATTTTGACTTGGTTCACTTGCTCGGTTGTTTGGTTCTTAACGTCACCTCCGTTTTCTTTCTTGATAATGTTTTCTTTAATTCCAATTTAAAATACATTATTATACTCCTCAGAAAATATTTTATTCAGAATTTAATTCTTTAATTTAGTTCAGTTCAGTTCATTATTGATCATATACTATGATACAAGTTAATACTGCTTCAGTTGATTGGATAACATAAGAGTGATCAAATACGACCAATGAAGAACTACAATAAAAAAGTGTTCCAGAACAAACTGAAATACATTGATTACACAGTGAAAGGAGATTATAATAAAAGCTAGGACTGAACTTTGGATGACTTTATTGATATATTGGAATAAATCACACACACACACACACAAATCAATTAGCTCATAAATTCAAAGGAGACAGACATGATGACGAGTCACAAAGCATTTTGAAGGCTAAGAAACAAAGCACAGTACAGCGAGCAAAAAAAATAAATTAAACATTTATATTGAGGAAAATAAAAAAATAAAGCTCTTGAAACGACAACAAAAAACCTTGGACACAGCCAGGCCCGGATTATGGGGAAGGCGTACTGGGCGCACGTCCAGTGCTCCCCACATCTAGGGGGCCCCACATCTAGGGCCCGTCCACAACATTGTAAAATAAGTTTTAAAAACCTTTACCACAGATCGATAAACAAGTGGAACAGATTGCCTAACACTCGCTGTGCACCACTTACCGTAACTCCACCAGGCCGCCACAAATATTTCCTACTAAAACTCATGTTTGGTGAACTGATTTAACTTATTTAACACTTCAAAATCCAAAACTAATTCTTCAATCAGCAGTAAATTCGCTGGTTTCCTTGAAATGTTTCGTTGGAAGAAAGTGAGACAGTTTTGATGCCTATGCACTGTTGACAAGTACTGGGCATGCACCGGCTCCTGAATGTACCTGAACCTGCTCCAGTGTTGGTCAAGTCTGGTCTTGAAAGCGTTCACACTCGGTGCTGTTGTGGGGTATGGGTTGTTTGGTTCACACTCAGGATGGGATGGAGAAAGGAAACTCACAATGTGCTCTCTGTATACATATTGTATTGGATGTACAATGCAGCTTGGTGCTGGGAAGTGGCAGCGTGGTTACAAGCGTGATGTAGAGAGAGCTGGTTGGTGAGGATGCTCAGAGGAGGACCAGCTTGTGGGTCGCCATGCTCGCCGGCGGGAGCGAGGGCCGCCAGGCAGCAGCGGAGGAGGTGGTGTTGCTTGCTGCGGCTGTAGCTAGAAGAAGAGAGAGAGGTCACCACGAGGTCAGGTCTTAAATAGCGGAGGTAGGCGAGGCTTAGTAGTTGACCTCCGTGATGTATGGCGGCGCTGGTTGACCCAGACCACGAGGCATACACTGGGGAATTCGCGGGGTCGGCTACTCAGCAACAAACAGCGTTTGTAGGGGAGAAATCCACTACACCGTCACAACACTTTCTGGTAGATTGTTCCAAGAGTTCACAACTCTCACTCCGAAAACGTTTGCCCTCACAGTTTTCTGGACCTGCGGCTTCTTCAATCTTGAGCTGTGACCCCTTGTGGGGTGAGCGTCCGCCAGCTCCAAGTAAGGACACTCGACTGAGTAGTGCCCCTTGAGATGCTTATACACCTCAATTAGGTCGCCCCTTGGCCGTCTGTATTATAAGCTAGGCAAGTTCAGGCGCTCCAATCTCTCAGGGTAGTTGGGTTGCCGAAGTGCAGGCACCAGTCTGGTGGCCCTCCTTTGAACATTTTCAACCAACTGACAGTCCCTAACACATCACGGGGACCAGACAGGGTGACAGTACTCCAGATGGGGAAGCACTTCACTCTTACAAGTCCCAATAATTTATTGACCTGGTTTACCTTCTTCTTGCATTGGCCCGAGAACTTCAGCTCATTGTCAACATACACACCTAGGTCCTTCTTTGTGTATCATTTTACGAGACCCATACATTTTTGACACAACTGTTCTAAAATGAAGGTTCATGGTCTCCATAAAAGGGTCATTGGAATACTAAGCCTTGTGTCACTTAATATTATTCTCCGGTTCCTATACGTATTATACGTATTGCAAGTCGCTGTCTTAGGTAGATTTTGCTTTTACTTTTATCCTCTTCGCCACTGATCGGCTCGTTAGCCGCTTGGGCGATTGGTCACGTCTCTGTCACACACTGTTGGCAAGTTAGACGATCTCCCACCAATTACATTTCAGGACGCTATCATCCTCCCAAATTCTGTAATAAATATGTTAGGCCTTACCATTTCCTCCAATATGTCCTGGAAATCACACATCCTTAGTATAACTAAAGCTGCCTCCCGAAAGTTAGGAATGCTGTACAGATGCCGCAGCTACTTCTCTCCTGAGCAGTTGCTCCAAGTATATAAGGGATTCATTCGTCTTAACTTGGCGTACTGCTCTTGTGGGAACGAAATATTTGGTTCACACTCAGGATGGGATGGAGAAAGGAAACTCACAATGTGCTCTCTGTATACATGTTGTATTGGATGTACAATGCAGCTTGGTGCTGGGAAGGCAGCATGGTTACAAGCGTGATGTAGAGAGAGCTGGTTGGTGAGGATGCTCAGAGGAGGACCAGCTTCTGGGTCGCCATGCTCGCCGGCGGGAGCGAGGACCGCCAGGCAGGAGCAGAGGAGGAGGTGTTGCTTGCTGGTTGGTGTAGGTAGAAAGAGAGAGGTCACCACGAGGTCAGGTCTTATATAGCGGAGGTAGGCGTGGCTTAATAGTTGACCTCCGTCATGTACAGCGGCGCTGGTTGACCTAGACCACGAGGCGTACACTGGGGAATTCGCGGGGTCGGCTACTCAGCGACAAGCGTTTATAGGGGAGGAATTCACTACAATACTCCCCCTTCCCTCCAGGCGGTGTAGGAGACTTGTTGTCTGCAGGGTTGCATGGCACATGTGAGGCAGAACGGGCGGTGCATGCCACATGTAGGACATAACGGCGAGGGCGTGGATGAGCCGGCCGCTAGGGGGGTGGGGGGGCAACTCTGTCTAGATACACGAGATCTGTGGGAGAAAAGAGGGAGAAGGAGGGTTGTGGAGGCGATGAATGTTGTGCTTCACTCGCGACAGGTACAGAGTCCACAGATGCGCCTGCTGGGGTGTGTGGGCCTGGGTCAGGAGCAGGGGCAGCGTTACGAAGAGTGTCCATGAGAAGCAGCAGGGTGCATGACAGCAGCAGGGTCCACGACAGCAGCAGGGTGCAGGACAGTAGCAGGGAGTACCTGAGGGCGAAAAGAGGGGTGTGTGGGTCCGCACTCAGGCGCATGGGCCGCGTCGGGAGCAGGGGCTGCATCAGGAGGAGCGGCAGGGGGTACTGCTGGGCCGGGGGCGGCGTCTGAGGCAGGACGGGTGTGTTGGGGTTGGTAGGACGTGGTGCTTGGGGCAGGAAGAGGAGTAGCTGTCTGCTTAGAGTAGCAGAGCTGCTCTAGGGTGTCTAACCTGCGGTGTAGAGACAGTAGCTGTAGAGCCGATGAGAGCTGCCTCTGTGTGGATAGGCCAGTCTTCCATGTTGCTTGAAGACTGGGAGAGTGATCGGTTTCTCCTCCATCCTGTGTGAGTACGAATCTCCAGGGGTCACCATTTGTGGGAGCGAGATATTTGGTTCACACTCAGGATGGGATGGAGAAAGGAAACTCACAATGTGCTCTCTGTATACATGTTGTATTGGATGTACAATGCAGCTTGGTGCTGGGAAGGCAGCATGGTTACAAGCGTGATGTAGAGAGAGCTGGTTGGTGAGGATGCTCAGAGGAGGACCAGCTTCTGGGTCGCCATGCTCGCCGGCGGGAGCGAGGGCCGCCAGGCAGGAGCAGAGGAGGTGTTGCTTGCTGGTTGGTGTAGGTAGAAAGAGAGAGGTCACCACGAGGTCAGGTCTTATATAGCGGAGGTAGGCGTGGCTTAATAGTTGACCTCCGTCATGTACGGCGGCTCTGGTTGACGACCCCGAGGCATACACTGGGGAATTCGCGGGGTCAGCTACTCAGCGACAAGCGTTTGTAGGGGAGGAATCCACTACACTCTCATATCTGGGGTCGCTCTTCTTCTGTCCAACTATTAGATAGGGTGGAATCAAAGGCATTTCGTCTTATTAACTCTCCTCCTTTAGTCGACAATCTCTCTTCCCTTTCTCTTCGCTGCAATGTTGCTTCACTCTCTCTCTTTTACAGGTACTTTAACGGGCAATGTTCGGTGGATTTGGCATCCTGTGTATCGCCGACAAGGCCGTGGGTTCGTAACACACGTCTTGCCCGCGGTGCCCACCGTTTCTCTGTGGACGTCGGTCACACGAGAATAACCCATTATGGTACCTCCTTCTTTCCTCACACAGCCAAACTATGGAATACTTTGCCTTCTTCTGTGTTTCCATGCTCTTACAATCTGTTTCACTTTAAAAAGCTGGTTTTCTGGCATCTTCGTGGTGTAGATTAATACAGTATAACCTTTTTTTTCTATATTTACAATTCCTTTCCGTTCTTTTTTTTTTCGCCCCCCAGGCTCCGTTGTGGGTTGTTTGACCTGTGCCCGGGTGGGTTAACTCCTGTAAAAAAAAAAAAAGTACTAGGCATGTACTGGCTCTCTGTTACGCACTGTTGGCAGGTACTGGGCATGTACCAGCTCCTGAATGTAACTGAACCCGCTCTGTTCCTGCATATTTCACCAAATCCTCCTCAACCATGGAAAGAACTTGTGTGAGCTGTTGTCTGCTGAGACGAAAATATTCTTTGAAATTTTCTTCATCCAAGCTTAGGTGTTTTACCAGAGTATTTTAGGCTCCATATTTGGTCCAATTCAGCAGCAATCTATGAACCTGTAGTGGATACTCTCCCCTACAACTGCCGACTGATCACCTGCCGTTCACTTACCAGCCAATCAGCTTACAGCCAGCAACGTCGACAGACTAAGTCTCAGGTATGGACGGAGGAGTACTATCGCCGACTGAGTCTTGAGCTTCCACGTCTCAGCCAGGATCAGCGCTCCCGTCCTCTCTCGTGTACTACACGGT